AGTAATACACGAGCGCGTGTCTGTCAGCGGAGCGGAGAGCAATGATCACGACATGCGACGATTATCATCATCATCATCATCATCGTGACGACCGACCGACCGACCGACTCGATGATCGAAAAGGGAGACTTTGTAATCGAATCGCGTAACACTTTTTTCTGTGTGTGAGTGTATAACTGCTCTCATCATCATTATTATTATTATTATTATTATTATTATTATTATTATTATTATTATTATTATTAATATTATCATATTATCGTAAATCGTGATGTCGATACGTCACACAAAACCCAAATCGTTTGAAGTCGGAACATTTCGGACCTATACTACGATCCTGGGAAATACTGTGTTATGTATACGCGTTTCGATTTTCGATAATTCACTGTACTGTACTGTACTCGCGGCCTGTGCATTGGCGGCTGCAATCATCAATTGTATCAAAGGCAGTAAAGTTGGGATTAACGCAGACACACACACACACACACATACACGCACACAGACAGAGACGATTTGACAGAGGTCATTTCAATGTGAGCGAACGATCCGACAATACAGAGAGAGAGAGAGAGAGAGAGAGAGAAATCCCCCAAAGTCATACACTCGTATCAAACGAGAACCGATTGCTCCCTTTGTGGGTTTAATTTTTTTGGGTAATTGTTTAATCAAATAATAATAATAATAATAACAACGATGGTAATTTATTTATAATCGATGCGGCTCGCGCGTCTCTGGTCTCTCTCTCTCTCTCTCGCTCTGGTCACGCACATAGACGCGCAGCGGTGCACGAGATGCCGTGAATCAGATAAGATATGGTTCTTTTTTTATTGTTGCTGCTGCTGCCATTATTTAGTTACGGTAACGGGTTATCCTATCATTGCGGGGCCTCGCAGTGCGCTGCAGACAGCTCGCTTTTTCCAACTCGTACCTATAATACACAAGTGTGTCTATGCCTTGTGTATGTATGTGTGTGTGCGTATATACACGTACCTACGCTCCTGCTGCTGCTGCTATATACGTAAGTAATAACGCACGGACGAGAGACCGTAAAGTTCACGATGAAAATCGTTACTCCGCGCGAGTTGTGTGCTTGCTGGCTGGCTGCAGCTCTCGCTCGCGCAAGAAACGTTTGCGCTTGTGTGTGTGTGTGTGTACCGTATTATACACACTGCACACTGGGAAGGTGCCGCGAGCTGCGAGCTGCGCTCTGTGTATGCAGTGCATATAAAAGTTTAAAAGACAGCACGAAGAAAAAAAAATCGGAGTCAAGCAAGCTCCGAAAGAGCTCGAAAGACTCGCACAGCTCGACTCGCGCGGCGGTGGCTTTGGGGGGCTAGCCCTTTAAATTGTGTGTACGATCCGTCGTCGTATGTATACTATACGGTGGGCTCGATTTCTAAGCATCGGTGAGAGAGAGAGAGAGAGAGAGAAAGAAGGAAAATCCAGGCGCAGCAGAGCTAGTCTCACACACACAGTTAGCTGTCGTCGTAAAAATGCAAAATCCAAAGTGTTTGTCGCTAAAATCTACACACACACACAGACACACACGTATGCACACAAATCCAATGCTGGAATAGATAGTTATGCTCTTGTATGTATATGTATGTATTAGCTGCATGTATGTGTGTGCGAGTGTGAGTGTACTTGCATCGTTGCAGCAGCAGCAAAGCAGCATACAAAGGCTGTCTGTAATGCTGCTGGCTGGCTGGCTGGCTGGCTGGCTGGCTGCTGCTGCCGGTGGAAAGCGCGAACAGCTGAGGGGGAAAGCGAGAGGGAGTCAAGTGGTGAAGTTGAAAGAGGTACAAGGAGTCGCAGGGGAGGGAACCTCCTCGCACACACACAAAACCTTATATATACTTTGCTCGACTCGGCTCGGCTCGAGCGAGAGGCTGTCTGTGTGTGTAAGTTACATGTATAGTAGCTGGCAGTTCTGTGCCAAACGTGTGTGTGTGTGTATGCGTTAGATGCATGTGTGCTGTTGCTGCTGTAGCTGCGCGAATATATATATATGACTCCTTTGTGTGGCTCGAGGATATGGCTCGGTGCGCTTGCGCCGCAGCAGCAGCAGCAAGAGAGCGAGTTGCGACGACGACGACGACGACTACGCGGCGGCGCGAATAGCAGCGTTTATATATAGGTATATATAAAGGCATAAAATACGGAGCGCGCAATGTATGTAATATACCCGCTCTCGTCGTCGGCTGACTGCAAGCTTGTGTTGGTGCAGTCTATCTCTCTCTCTCTCTATAGGCTATCTCGTTCTGGCTCTCGGCTCTGGCTCGATTCCCCATTCGCCGTCGCGCGCAGCGCACACACTGCCATCCGCTTTTGCGGTTCGCTTTCTGCTGTAGTACGTGTACCTGTGTGTGCGTCCGTGTAAGTATATTCGCACACACTTGTAATACATCGGCGAAACTCGGAGCAGCCGCAGCAGCAGCAGCAGCGGTGGTGGCGGCGGCGGCGGCGGCGGCGAGCAGCACAGCAGTTCCTCGGCTGGCGCACGACCGACATCGCGCTGCTGCCTCTGAGAGCCGGGCCCACACAGACATATAGAATATATACTCTACACGCACGGTGTTTCGCGTATATATATATATATATATATATCTAACTACACACACACGCGCGCGCGTTGTCGAGCGCTCACGCAAATATATCTGTGTATAGCGCGTACATATATATATATCGCGAAACGCGAACGAGAGAGAGATAGAAAGCTCGATTCGCGCATACATACACGCGTACATGTATAGCAGCACAAGGCACACACACAGGCGCGCGTGGCTCTCATCTACTCCGACACTCGACTCCGTGTGTGTGCGCGCACAGAGCAGCAGCAGCAGCAGCAGCAGCAGCAGCACGAGCACGAGCAGAGGTCGTCGTCGTAGTGGTAGTAGTAGTAGTTGAGAGTTCTACATATCGGCGACGAGAGAGAGAGACGGCCGACGACGAGCGAGCGAGCGAGAGGCTCGCCATTTTCCGTTCGCCTCGCGCTCAGCTGAAGTCACATCGGAGCAGCAGCAGCAGCAGCAGCGGCGGCAGAGCGGCGACGACAGGCCAGCAGCCAGCCAGCCAACAGCAGTGAGCGAGCCGAGCCGAGCGGAGAGAGAGAGAGAGAGAGAAAGAGAGAGACTTAGGTTTTGCTCGCAACATTCGGAGCAAGCAGGCAGATACAGCTTTACTGCACAGGATTGACAAGACAAGACACACACACACACACACACACACAAATCAGCAGGCCGCGAGCGAGTGCGTGTGTTTGGATGTGTGCGAATGTGTGCTTGTGTGCGAAACTGACTGACTGACTGACTGTCAGTCTGTCGGTTCGTTTGCGCGTGTGTGTATGAGGATAAATCATACATATATATGGAGCAGCAGCATTAAGAAAGACATATACACACACACCAAGTGGAGATTACCATAGGGTTGGTACCACGACCATCGACCGAAAGGTTTAAAATAAAAAAAATAATAAAAAATTCAAAAAAGGGAACCACTGCTCAGAAGTAACCCGAGGACCAACAAACTGGCCGATTACCGAGAGAAAGAGAGACAAGGAAGGGCCTGACACATATACAGAGAGAGACCACAGCCACAGCTCCACACAGCCGTGACAGTATATAGACGTTGAAGGCAGTTCTATATACATACATACATTTGCAGCCGAGCCAGCAGCGAGCGAGAGACAAAGAAGCCGGCTGGCTGCGCTCGATGATAGCTATATCTACGGCACAGCACAGCACAGTAGCAGCAGCAGCAGCAGCAGTAGTGCAGTCCGGGTACATATAGAGATAGAGAGAGAGAGAGAAAGAGCTGTGTGGTTCTCTCTCACTGGCAGCAGTAGCAGCAGCAGCAGCAGCAGTGGAGAGAGAGACAGAGAAGCGGAGTGTGTGCGAGAGCGCCCCCCGAGCAGCAGCAGCAGCACATCAGCAGGCAGCCTTATCGATTTTCGCAAGAAACCAAGAGACAGAGACAGAGCAGCCGAGAGAGAGAGAGAGAGAGAGCACCCTACAAGTACATACACACACAGTGCACAGAGTATATCCGAGCCGAGAGAGTAGAGTCAACGTCGTCGTCGTAGAACTAGGGGCGCCCTGCAGCGGGGGAGGAAATTGAAAATCGACAGACGCACACACAAGCAGAGGAGGACACACAACCCGGAGGAGGAGGAGGAGACATTTTTCGTCAAATATATAGAAACTAATCGGGGCGATCTGTAGCTGCAACGAATCTCAAGCCTTTCACGCGACTGCATTTGGGTGAAAATTATAATCATCGGGTCTCGACAAGCAGTAGTGTCTCAGAGTGTCAGTGCAATATATCTTTGTTTCTCGAAGTTGAGATCGTCTTCTCGCATGCAGCAGCAGACCCAATTCCAACAAGAGAACGAATATCCTACGTTGTGTGTCAAGCTGCACCAGTTTTAAACGCAAAGGTAGAGTAATATAAAAAGGAGCGTCGGTGATAGCGGCTTTTTCGGAGCAGCAGCAAGCCTAGAGCAGCAGCAGCATAAGCGCATAGTGTGTGTAAGTGTGTGTGTGTCTGTGTGAGTAGGTATATGTGTGCAAAGCGAGGAGAGCCTAGTGCAAAAGGCGAGCGCAGCGGCAGCGAGAGCGGCGAGGGAGGGAGGTAGGCAGAGCCAGCAGCACCACGGTAAACCGGTTCTTCGATCGGCCAAGCAACAGCAGCAGCAGTGAGCCTCACTCACTGAAAGCTAAGGAGTAGGAGGCATATCACGCCGAGAGCCAGAGCGAGACAGAGACAGACAGGCTTCGGTACAATCTCTTCTGGTTAAAAGTGTCAGTTCGTGTCTCGGCTCTCTGTGTGCTACAACGACGACGACGACGACTAGGGGCATGGCCGCCATCGTCATCTTCTGGAGCAGTCGATAAAACGAAAAGTGTGTGCTGCGTGTGTGAGCGTACTCGATCCCACCCCCTCATCCTGGAAGACGAGATATGCCGACGACCGATGACGGTCCCAAGCGAAGTAACGACCACAGCGGCTACATTACAGTGGTAACATGGAGAACAGGATCGTCGGCCAACAAGAACGAGAACAGTATCAGCATCATCAGCGAGTCGTTGTCGAAAGCTGCAGCGGTGAATCGTCCACGAAACAAAAAAAATTTCTGCCATGAGACGCTGACGACGACCAAGAAGACGACGACGACGACGACGACGACAAAATTATCAGCAGCGGCCTCGACCGAGCGTTGTTCAGTGAACGGTGGATCAGTAGGTAGACATCGGTTGGATAGCACTAGCAGCTCGTCCTTCGTCATAGCAAGCCGATGAAGCTCAGCCAAATGCCGAGTCTCGTGTACCTGAGCCGGCGTACGAACGCCGCCAGTGGTAGCACTCAGGAAGCAGCAGCGCAAGTAGCAGCCGATGTGGCTGTCTTACCTTCGGCAGCAGATAGCCAGCAGCAGCAGCAGATAGCCAGTGTAACTGGCGGTGTCTTACCAACGCTGATGAAGAAGCAGCAGCAGCAGTTGCTCGCCGCCGCAGCCGCCGAGAATCTGGATCATCAACATCAACATCATCATCATCATACTGCCATCGTTGGCGCAGTCGTCATCGCCGACAAGCTCGACCAGCAGCAGCAACAGCAACAGCAACTGACCGCGGGGCAGCAGCGACTGTTGGCCGTCGACTCCGAGAACTACATGCTACGTAACGGTAGCTGCGATCAGCAGCAGCCTCAACAGACTCAATCTCAAAATCACAGCAACGGCATCAAGTCGATCATCAGGTCGACGGCGAATCATCTGAAATCGTCGTCCACCTCGACGAGCATCAGCAGCAGCAACAGCAGCGGCAGCATCAGCAACGGCAGCAGCAGCGGCAGCGGCGCTGGCAGTGCAGGAGCCAGTAGTGTGAGCAGCAGTAACTGCAGCAGCGGAGCTGCGCCGTTGTTCGCCGGCAAGAGCTGCGCCAGATTGGCCAGCTTTCATCGCTTGCTGTGCTGGTGCGACGAGCAGCAGACTACTGGCGGCGGCTACGTTTTCAACAACAACAATAACAACAACAACAACAATAGCAACAACAACAATATCAATAATAACATCGGCAGCAGCAGCAGCAACAGAACCAGTGGCGGTGGCAGTGCTATCGCGTCCGCCGTTGGTAGTCCCAGCAGCAGCAGCAGCAGCAGTGGTGGTGGTGGTGGCAGTAGCTGTCAAAACAGCAGCAGCAGCAGCAACAACAACCACAACAACAGTGACGACTTAGTTATCGGTAGTAATAGTAATGGTAGTAGTAGTAGTAATAATGCGCGTGCCGGTGCAGCATCGGGTGTTGTCGATCATTTGGTAGTAGTCGCGAGTGCAACGACAACAACAACAACAGCGTCGGGCTCCTCCTCTCCCCTGAATCAGATTCAGTCCCTTGAACAACAACAACAGCAGCCACCGATCAGCAATGGCGTCGGTGGTTTCAATAGTACTAATACTAGTAATAACGCAATAATAACTGTCGAGAGAAAATGTTGCTGTATGTGCGGTTCCGTTTGTCCCTCAGAGTGTCACGCGTGCTTTCACAACGTCTGCAAGGACAGGTCCCACGAGCGGCCCTGCAGATGGAGCGCCAAGAGCGAGCAACGCCAGCCGCCGGTCTACAATAAAGATAAGGTGAGTCTATCTTTGCGATATTTCTTATACATACTCTTCTTCTATTACTACTTCTTTTTTTTCTACTTTTTAATTGTGTAACAGATCACCCCCGCGACGATCGCGAGACAAAAAAAAAGATTTTATAAAAACGTGATTTTGCTTCGGTCCGTTCGATAAAACGTTATACGTACATAGGAAAAACTTTCCCGGATTCGCATTTTAGAAAATTGTGTGTGCTGTGCGAACTGTGTGTAAGTCTGTCTGTGTGTGTTTCGCGCAGCAGTAGCAGCTGGTGTAGAGCCGAGTCGCTAGAAAGATAAGGTTATCTGTTCGCTCTCTGGGTGGTGGTGGTGCTGCTGCTGCCGCTTGCGCCGTCATCGTCGTCGTGCTATATAGTCAGTTCGCTCGCTCCAACACAAAGAATGTATATATAGATAACGTCACGAATGGACTATCTTATTAACTCGACTTTGCAAACATAACCTCTGGCGCTTCTTTACCAGAGAGAGAGAGAGAGAGAGAGAGAGAGCAGTACATGTATATCGCATACATGCACGTACGCATTTTCGCGATGATTTATCGGAGAGCTTTTTTCCTCTCTTTTTTTGCAATTTTTCACAATCGATTGGAGCTCGTTTGCGAATCTCTCTGCTGGTTGGTACCACGCAAAATATCTGCCCGTCGTCGATCGTAATTCAAGCGTAATTAATAAAGAAAAAATCGGAAATTTGTAATTCAATAGGATTAAGTGTCCTGATTTCAAGCATCGAGAAGATAAAATTCAAATTTCCAACGAAAACGGAGGTGCGTGTCGCGCTCGCGTAGATCACAGTAAGCCAGTTTTGTCCAGTTCGAGCTAAACGAGCGAGGCAGATTTTTTTTCTTTTTTTTTTTTTTTTTTTAATCTTTTTTTTTTATCCAATAGCTGCTTGTAGCCTGGAGCAGCCTATTGTAGACCGGTCGAAATCTTTCCTATAATAGATGCGAGGCGTGATGTATATATGAAAAGCTCTCGATGCGCATTGTGTATACACACATTTTCGAATATATCTGAATTTGCAAAAATGTAATCTGCATTGGTTATTTTTGCGCGTCACCTTTGCTGCGACGACGACTACGACGACGAGTGGTAGTAGTATAGAAGTATGTAGGTGAAAAAAAGAAAAAGAAAAAAAAACTTTTCGTATTCGAACTTCCTGCAAGGTCAAAAGCATATTAAACTTGGCACGTTCTTGCCTACACACCTATTCCGAAAAGCTCTTCGCACGCCATTTGGACAAAAAGGGGGATTATTCACCACCGGACTTACATACTTATGTATTATACAATTATGAATGATGATATTTAAGTTCGCACATCGTTACATATCGTGTACCTAGAAAAAAAAAAAAAAGAAAGCGCGACGAGACGCGCGCGCAGACACATGGAGACGCTCGATCGCGAAACATTGCGCTCGTAAATTAATGGCCGGCACACAGAGAGGCATATAAATTAAAAAAAAAAAAAGGATACCAAATAAAAGAGTCCCCGCGAGCTTGAACCGCTGATTCGTACCTCTCTACTATATACGCTGGAACAATTGAAGATTGCCCGCTACACACCGAGTCGTGCAGTAGTGTATAATACGCAACACACGTACTTACACACCCGCGCGCGTGCGAGAAGCGTATAGGTATATATACCTATCCCGAGATATAATTATGTACTGTAAAAGCGTGTTCGCGTACACACACAAACACACACATACGTACAAATAAATACTATATAATGCAGAGAGTGACGCGCTGGTTTTTTTTTGTTCTTGTGTGTGTGTGTGTGTGTGTGTGTGTATGTGCCGTTGTTGGAACATCATAATTAATATGACAGTAGTTACACCGCTGCTGCAGCAGCAGTGGCGGAAATGGATGCGTGTTGGGTAGTGAGCCTGATAGTGACAAATTGTTTCTTGTTTGTAAAAGTACGCGCGAGCAGCAGCACAGCAGTGGAGAGAGAGAGAGAGAGAGAAAAAAAATACATTCTTTATGTTACACTCGCGTGCGCGTAAATTTTGCCCTCCGAGTAATAATTCTATACATTACGGTATATATAAAACCCTGTAAAGGTTGGTTTAAAACTCGCTTAATCGTATTAGCGACTCTCGTGCGTGCATACGTAATACGTAAGATTATGGGGATCTTCAATCTCTTTGTGTGCGCCTATGGTACGTGCTTTAATTGCAAAAATTGTCAGCGCAATTCCATTCTTTATCGCGGCGGCGCGGGGCTATATGTACACGCGCACACACACACACACACATACACGGACACTCGTGCGGTGGTGCACAGCGCGCTCCGTTTTAGATAATTCACGAGTCGAGTTTGGATTTAGCTTGCGTTGCAACTCCACTATATACATACTCAATAGGCAACGATGAGAATCTGATGTAATTTGTCGGTTACCCAATGCAGCAGCAGCGGCGGCGGCAGGCTCGGTATCCATGCACGCACACACACACACACACACACACTACACAGGGCTTACGCTCAATCGCATCGCGAGAAAGTCTCTATGTATAACGCATACAGACATATATACGCTCATATATATACAATAAAAAAAGTGGCTTCGAATCGGATTTGTAGCTTCCTAGTGTATTATGCAGCATTAATGGAAAAGAAATCGTTTTTCCCTGGGATCGAATAAATCTATTAGAAATTGATGATTCTCTTTCTTTTTATTTTTTTTTTTTTTGTTAAACTTGCGAAAGAAGCAGCAGCATTAGTATGCTGCTGGCTTTGTAATGAATATTCTTTGCAGCCGCGAGGAGGATCATCAATTTTATAATTGAATTCTCATGGCGCGGATGAAAGCAGTTTTTTCGATTATATATTGCGTGTGTATTATAATGCGCGCCTGTGCAATGCGCGTATAGTCAGACACTGAAGTTGGCCGCAGCGGAAAACAATCATTATCATTGCCTCCCGTTGAATTTTTGCCAATTTCGTATGAGTTTTGAAGTCGCAGCACAGCAGTAGTAAAGAGAGAGAAAACGTTTCGTTTCACTCGAGAGTTACAATATCGTTGATTATTATTCATCTTTCTCTCTCTGTCTCTCGGGGGCGAGGGAAAGAAGAAAAAAGAAGAGAGAGAGGGAGAGAAAAGTTCGAGGCATAAAGAAGCAAAAAATCTCAAATTAAAATCTTTACTCTCGCTGCTGCTGCTGCTGCTGCTGCTGCTCTTGCTGAGATCTTGTCGCACTCGCGCGTGTGTGTTTAAAAATAAAAAGAAATATTACACAGAAGCACACACGAGGCGCGCACAAACTTCGCTCCTTTTTACCCCCTAGTTTGTGTGTGCCTCGTGTACCGCGCGCCTTCGACTTCAATAAGTATATAGTAGTATAGGTACACATTGTAAAAAAACTTCACAGAGAGTTAGAGAGAGATGGGGGAAGAGATCTCATCCTCCTGCTCTTCTTTTCCTTTGACAAAAATGACTGCCGAGCCGTCGAAAAATGACTTCGCGCGAACACTACACTACTACCGTTGTGTTGGGGTCACGATGATGAAAAAAAAAAATAATAAACGTCACGATGCGTAATAAATTCATCATTTTATTACGCACAAAGCTCACAAATAATGTGTCCCAGTGATCGAGAGAGAGAGAGAGAGAGAGAGAATAATAATATAAAGTGAAATGCAACAAACGAAAAAAAGGTGCGGTTCTTTACAATACAATATACACGCGCATACATGTACAGTCAAGAGAACGAACAAACGAGCTCGAAGCGGGAGGAGAGAGAGATAGAGAAATGATCGTTAATTCAATCAATCATTCCGTCGAGTGCACGTATGCTCCGTGTATATACATTATTCCTCTCTCTCTCTCTCTCTCTCTTTTACTGCGTGCAAGCAATTATCGACAATGAGCGCTGATCCACACACACACACACACACACACGTGCGCGCGCATACGTGCATTTATACGCCTGCAGAAGTCAGAACTGGATAAAATTACGCCCATGTATGTGCGTGCGTATATAATTTTCCCGAGCGTTCGTGCATTCTTTTTTCGGCGTTTCACCGGTGAAACTTCTCGATCATGCGGCTGTGCTTCCACATCTCTACGTAGTATATATACATACACTCGATTATATATTTTATGACTCGTGCTTTTACCTTCAAAAAAGCTCGCTCGCATCTCGCGCTTACTCCTACTATTTGCACGCCAATTGTTAAAAAATTTGACCGCGCGACGATTAACTGCGGCTAGACAATTAAACGGCACACGGCATTAATTATACAAAACATTTTTCGCATAGTGTAGTAGTCGAAATATAGGATAAAGTGTCCGTTTTAACGGGCTCGTTCGGTTGATAAATGACCGTACGCGGGGCAAATTAAAAAAAAAAAAAAAAAAAACTGGTTGAAAATTAGATGGTTGACACATCGCGCCGCCGCTCGCGGTGGGTAATCGCTCGAAGATTAACCGCGCGTTGAAAAAAAAAGGCGATAGTAATAAAAGCAGCAGCAGCGATACACGAACGCGATACTGTCAGACGTACGTCGAAAAAAAAAGAAAAGAAAAAAAGACTCAACAAATTTCTTTTTCGCAACTTTATCGCGCTGACCTCTTGTCGTCGTCAATTTTTTTTTTATCTCGGCTACAAAAGTTTCGCGCTCGTCTCAAAGTCGCTCCCGATCGATCGATCGGACGGCGGCGGTGGCGGCGGCGGCGGCGCACGTGAATCGCGTTGCCCCACGACGAGTCGCTGCGGATCGATCGATCGATCGATTCGGCCGGAGGCGCTCTGAGTTCTTGTAATACACCTGCTTGTCTGCGTCTGAATGCCGAAAGTCGAAATTTCACAAATTTTTTTCGGAAGCGGTAAGAACTCGATTTTTCTTCTATTATTGTTTCGCGCGAGCGCGCCCGCCCAAGTCAACGCGACGACGTCGACATCTGCTTAAATATTTGCACGTTCTAATATAATTGGCGCGCGCGCGCATACCTACCGAGTGATTGAATACTCTTTACAC